TAGACAAGACGTCGCAGCATCTTTTCACAATCAATACTTAACAACTATAATGTCGGCATCAGTTCCGCGGTATCAAAAGGAGACAAACACGAACATATCGCAGCCTCCCAAAACACACACGCATACACTACACGCATGCATCTTGCACACATTGGAGGCCGTCGTTAACTAAACAATACTTAACCAAACAAAACAAAACCTGACAAAGTCTTCAAAAGGCATGTTTAGCACTTGTAATGGTATCTGAGCGCTACGGGCTTCTTTTGACAACCGGAGTTTTACAAGATAAACTGGTAAAGCAGAACGGAAACATTCCCTGCCTTTTGACCCCATTTAATTATGTAATCACATATTGAAATCAATTAAAACTATACATATTTCAAATATTTAATTGATGCAGATTTCATTTAAAATAAACCACATGTTTTATTCATACATTTAAATAACTCAGATGCACTGTGTTTTTTTTCGAAACACATTTTAGGTATGGATTGCAAACCTGTTAATCACTTGCTGATATGCTGATTTAGTTGTGACTCGTTTATAACTGATAACATTACAAGTCAACGAAATTGTATATTTCTTGAAAAGGGTACAGTAAAAGGTATGCTACCTCCGTATAGGTTGAACAAGTTTGGGTTATTGATGTTCTTTTGTAATGCTTTTTTAGTTCGTATTAATGAATTTGACAATTTGGATTAATGAAGTTGTGTTGTCTTAGATGTTAGATTTGTTATTAACAAGGTTGAACTGTATGATTTAAAATACAATGCAGTTGAAACTTACACATTTACACTGCGTGTGTGTCAAAGTCCTTGTAAGCGATATTTCATTGCTGTGACTGTGCAAGTTCGAGATAACGATGTCCCACTTACTGTTTGAGTTCCACTCTCGTATAAGTTGATATAATTTAGTTTAACTAAGTTTTAATAATGAAGTATTAATTCATACAATCTTGATTTACAAGGTTGTATTGTTTTACCTAATTCTAGTCTTCATAATGAAGGTTCTTAAGCATCAGCATTATTACCATATAACCTCATTTACTGAGCGTCACACGTTTACATTACTTAATAATAATAATAATTCGAGGTTCGTATATACCGCTTTATCACAACCTAGTTCGTAGGTCGTCTCGAAGCGGTTCATAATTTATTGTCCGTGGTTATAGGGCCAATATCTGTCTCAATTACCTGGGGAGCATACATTCGGTGCTGCCAGTATCTGACTCAAAAATTCAACACAGTGCCATGCCGTGACTCAAATACGCAATCCTTCGGTTACGAGCCCGGCGTCCTACCAATAGACCGCCGTACCTCCTTAACTAAACATATTAATTGTTTTAGTATACAGACTTTAGAAACAACTTCACTTGGTATCGGAACAAGGATTCGTGCAAGCCAACTAGATTGAATAGAGCATGGAATGTTCAAACACCCCTTACTTTACTGTACACACAGCGTTTAGCAGCCGATCATTTATTCACAAAATGTTGAGATATTTTTTCCTGCTGCTGAACTAGGAATTATCTTAACATTGTTTAATTGGTCGTTCATCAAATATGAACTATGGCACCAAATATATGGTCCATCATAACATGTGTTTCTTTCTTTAACCTTAACCCATGACATGGTTATATACAACAATATATAGACTTTGTTCTTGACACTTAAGGTTGATTTATCTAAAGGAAACAGCGACAGCGAACGCTTAAACGTTCATTGTCCCGTCAAGTGCACAATCGAAACCACCAGGGACTGAGTGATACAATGAGTTACCACATTGGAACAAAGTTGTTAAGCATGAATATGAAAATGTGCGTTTACATACTACGTGTTTATCACCAAGAAAACATATACCGTAATTTGTCTAAATATTGGTGACATACCGTAGGAAGGCTAAATAATGTTGATCTACAGTAGTATGTCTAAATAATGATGACATACCGTAGTCAGTCTAAAACATTGACAAATATGTACCGTAGTAAGTATAAATAATGTTGACATACAGTAGTATGTAAAGATAATGTTGACTTACCGCATTAAGTCTAAATAATGAAGAAATATTATTGTATGATCAAATTTATATTTGTTTTGATGTTCACATCAAGTAATTTATAGCCTCTGTTGGTTCTGAATTGATATGCTAATTGAAGTGGTTGTAATTATTTGCGTTAGCTCAAAACAAAAATGCACGTGATATACATTGTCATTTAAATAGCATCAGCTGGTATTTGCCCAGACATTTTCGTTAAATTTTGATCACTCATCTTCTCCCCGTATGCCTAAACGACCGCCCTGTTAATTGTTTATGAGAACCATACTATTTTTCACCTGAACCTCCGTCCGTTTATATTGTATGAGGATAATCTAAACTTCCAGGTTTACTTCAATGAAAACCATGTTTGATACTACTGATGGTACAAATATTCACATTGCCTTCCGCCAAAGTCATATTAAGGGGAATCATACAAGCTCTCAAATGGATATCCGTCCTTAATAAGTTCCGTTATGTTCATGCCAAGTTTAACATGATCATTTTAGAACTTTTTGATAAGGTTGATGTGAACAGGTATCCGTTCTTCTATTCCAACATTCACTTCTGTATACACCAAGTCATATAGGTTCATGCCTTATTTATCTCCGAACTAATATCTCTAGAGAACAAACCAACTGTATCCTGTATTTCCACCCTGGCCATCCTCTATTGGANCACGGTTTTTTTGTTGTATTCAAACACCCGTCTTAAGTTTTGTCTTTGGAGTGTTCTAAAGAGGTCATACCGATATCTGCCTATACTTCCGTCCTTACCATGTTCTGCAGTGATCATACCATAACATATATGTAATTCCTTCAAAACCTATTGTGTAGATTCTACCAACATTCCCTTTGACTTCCGTCCTTAACGTCTTCTATAGGAACCAGTAGAACATTTACTTAACTCTTCTCCTGACCAATATCTATAGAGTGTATAGTTATATTCAGTTGTACCTCAGTCCCAACCATACATTGGGTTCATGCAAATACTGTAGGGTGAGAAAGTTTCGTTCAATTATTTTATTTGTTCTTATCATTTAATAACTATGCATCAAATGTAAGCTGTCAGTATAGATGTGTTCTTCGATACGGCTGAGATATTATCTTGGTGAACAGTTCTGTAGTTCGTACACATCATGTTCTAGGAGGAGTACATCGACTCCCATTCTTACTTTCATTCATATTCATATTACCTACCGTCCTAAGCATGTTCTGTGACGAACATACAAACGTTTCTCTGAACATCCATCTATACCATACAAGAGTCCAAATCTGTCCTTAAAATGTTCTCTAGGGAACACACAATCGTTCCTCTGACCCTCTGTATATACCCTATTAGAGTCCACATCTGTCCTAAACATGTTATGTATGAAAGATATCTACGTTCCTCTGAACATCAATCTGTGCTCTTTCATTTTCAGCTTAACTGTCCAAACAATGTTCAGTGTGGAACATACCTACGTTCCTCTGGACATCCGTCTATACCCTATACGTGTTCACCTCTATCCTAAAAATGTTCTGTGTGGAACATACCAAAGTTAATCTGAACATCCATCTTTACGCTATCAGTGTTAACCTGTATCCTTAGCATGTTCCATGTGGACAATACCAACGTTCCTCTGCACACACGTTAATACCTTGTCAGTGTTCATCTCTGTCCAGACAATGTTCTGTGTGAAACATACTAACGTTCATCTGAACATCAATCTATACTCTTTCAATTTCACACTAGGTGGTCGGGTAGTTTGTACCTGTCAATTTCACACTTGGTGATCGGGTAGTTTGTACCTGTCAATTTCACACTTGGTGGTCGGGTAGTTTGTGCCTGTCAATTTCACACTTGGTGGTCGGGTAGTTTGTACATGTCAATTTCACACTTGGTGGTCGGGTAGTTTGTACCTGTCAATTTCACACTTGGTGGTCGGGTGGTGCAGTGGATAGTGCACTCGCCTTTCATCAAGGCGACCGCAGGGTTCAATTCCCTGATCGGATCGTAAAAAGGTATAGGGTCACCTGCCCGACCACGTTGGTTTTCTCCAGGTAATATGGTTTCCTCCCACAGTAATTAATTTAAGACCCCCTGTGTGCTAACATCCGGCCCAACAAGAGTGATTAGTATAATAAGTTGTGAAAAGTTGTTTCATATTTGTTGTAAAATGAATAAAATGTATATACTTGCAAACTTTTTGAAATTTCCATTAGGGAGAATAAAAACATAAATTAAAGTTTTGGTACTATTAAATGGCATCTTTTGAGCTGTTCTTTCAGATGAAATCATCAGATCTTCGAAAATAGAAATAGTTTAGCAAATTCACTGGTTGAAAATGCTCAATTTAAGGGTTCAAAATCAGGAGTCTCCTTCCGAAATAGGGAGAGTTGGCATGTTTGCAATTATGCTTCGACATTTCTTGTTTTGAACATTTAGAGAGGACGACAGAACCATGTCAGCGAAGAGGTCACAACAGGGGTCAAGGGGTCACCAGCAACCAGAGAAGAGCGCATTTCAAGGGGAATAATCTTCAAAGAAATATCAACCCAAACAGGTAATATATAAATGAGGCAGCAGTAATCCTGATCTCGGATTGATCTTTGTCACTTGGAGTCTTGACTCAAACTAAATATGTCAATGACATTCAATTTGTACATAATATAATAAACACTCACACATACAAATAAATTGATAGTTTGCGATTGTATGAATTGTGGAAATGATCAGGTAGAACAACCAATAAGTGTTTATGATTGACATGTCGCATACATCAGACAAATGACCAGTGAAGCATATTTACAAAAATGTGCAAAGTAAGTTGGCAAAACAAAATTGACGTCGATTCAGCTTAGGCTATAAGCATTTTGTTAATGGTAAACATTTTTGAATGGTGTTTATTTTTTTATTTTTTTATTTTTTGTTTTTGTTAAGAATTCCCAGATAGGTTTGCCAACAAAACCTTATCAATGTATCCATGTCCCTTCTACTCGCCTCAAAACAATCATGGGAGCCGATCACTGTACAGCAGTGATTCGGAGTTGGACTCTGACAGTGGCTACAGTAGTCCGCTACACAAAAGAAGTCAGGTATCCAGTGTGGGCACACAGCCAGCGGAATTTATCCAAACTATGTTCTTCACTCCAAATTCTGCGGACTCAGAACATTGTATATCAAATTCTAACCAATCAGGACAAAGACAGTATGTATCCAAATCTACTCCATCAGGGAATAGCATATCAAATAGTGGCCAATCAGGGCAGAATACATTGAATTCACTCCGACCAGGACAGACACAAAGCATTCAAAATTCTGTCCAATCAGAGCAGAGTAATGCAGTGACTCCTGCTGCTGTCTCGCAGCAAAAAATGAGCTATGCCATGATTGCTCAAAAAGTGCCTAGTCCAAAACCTAGTGTTCAACCACAAAACACACAAAGTGCAAATGTCTGTGATATATCAAGTAACTGTGAACGTTCCAGGACTGTCTCAGGGGAAATAACTCCAAGTGCCAAGAAATCAGTGACTAGTACATATAGTTCAAAATCTGTTGAAAAAGCTGATGAGAGTAAAAATAGAGAAAATGTTGGGGAAAGTGAAGCATTGCCTGGTGAAAAGAAAAAGAGAAAAAGAAATAGGAAACGAACGAAGAAAATGATAAATGATGATTCCAATATTTCACATGCAGTTGAGGATGTTGAGTTACATTTTGAAGATGAGGAAGAATTCCCGGATTTGTTGGGAAGTGTTCAAACTCGCTCACCTTCAAGAGAGCGAACTTCATCTCTGGGAAGGGAAAAGACTTTGTCATCAAGAGAGACAACTCTTTCCAGGGAACAAAATCATTTTATTGATAGTGACAGCATGGCTTTAGATAACATACAAAAAAGTGATAGGACAGCTCATGTGTTACACCCTAGTGGTGGAAATATGAGCAATTTAAGGGAGACAACTATCAACAAATCAATGGAATATTCAAGTTCTAGTCCCGTTGCTATGACAACTACCAGCAGTATGTCTGGCCCACCTTCTTATAGCTCTATTCTCAAAGCTGTGAGTGATTGATGTTTTTATACATACTTCATATTTTTATTTGCTTAGGTCATTAAGTCATTCGATTTATCAGTGCAAAATTTTCAACAGAAGACAGTTGAAGGCTAAGCAACAATCTTCTTTCGTTCAAATTTGGAAACACGAATATGAACCCTTTCACCACTGTAGACCATAATGGACTCATCCATATCATTGCATGGGAGAGTCTACCAAAGTTGCATAGGGGTGGAAGGGTTAACAGATATAATTTTATTGAATTCTATTTAAGGAGCGAATCTTCAGTAACAGACAATATAATGTTTGGAATGTTGTACCAGTAAATATCGTGTTTTTTATTTTTATGTATAAACATTTAATGTTGTGACAAATATTTGTTTTATTCAAACTCATTTTTGTATTTCAGAAAAAACATGTTGTGACATTTGATGAAACACAGCTTCAACAGAATGAAAGACTATTGAAAGAGAGTAAAGCAAGGGAGGTAACTGAATCAGGTATGGAAAAGTAGGGGAGATAAGTGAGGAATTTTACTCAAAGAACACTGTTGTTCATTTCATCCTTATTATTTTTCCTAAACTAATTCACCCCTTAAATTTCATAATGAACTATTCCAATCTTTGAATTGGAAGAGTTCAAATGTGTCTTCAGGGGTGAATGAGTTAATACTGGTCTGCACTATAGTTTTTTTTTTATAGAAATCATTTATAAAAGCCATAGTCATGCAGGGATGAGGGGAGAGGTGGGGGGGGGGGGGGTTTGAATGTACAGTTTCAATTTTTGTCTTGCCGCCACAAAGTAGCGGAGGCGAGACTATAAGGCGTTGCTTTTCCAGCAGCGTCCGGCATCAAAACATTTAGTATTTGCGTTTAAGTTAGTTTCACTAACGGTATAAGTGCTACCGCAACCAAACTTGCCATATATGCATTTTATAGGTAGTACATCTAAACCCATGCATCAAATGCTGGATGCAGCCTACCTCACATGGTCCATTGACTTAGTCAGCATCTCCATCAGCATTAAGGTTTTGCATTTAAGTTGGTTTCTCTGAAACTATAAGTTCTAGACCAACCAAACTTGACATGTGCATTGATGGACATATCAGTCTGAATGGCTTGTTATCAGTGGAACGGGGATCCTTTAGTTGGAGCATATATATTTTTAGTTATATAGGTCTTTGGCAGGGTACATGGTCTCATGTTCGCTGTCAGGACCTTATGTACCTTCGCCTTCAGCTCAGGGTACATAAGGTCCTGACAGCGAACATGATACCATGTACCCTGCCAAAGACCTGTATAACGAATTTGTCATACTGCAAAGCCATTGAAAACAGATACTGTGTAGGGCGGTAGTACGAGAAAACAGAAAAAGCATTTTTTGTATAGTTCGAACAATATAATATTTTTTTAAATTATAATAAGTCAACAATATGGTTTTGAAACAACATTAAATAACAACTCAGTTCCTTAACAACTCGTAACGATTGATTTTTGAAAAACCGTTTCGCCATATTGTTGATTGTTGACATTAGCAGACGAACATTCTCCGGTGTGTTCAATTCAAATCTTCGAGTTATCTCCCTTACAACGGGCGCGCGTGCTCTTATGTACCCCGGCAAGGATACTAACATAGCTTCAGGTACCTTGGCAATTCGACCAATCACCGTGCGACATTTTTCTTTGCAGTATGACAAACATGTATGAAATAGTAAGATAATCCCATTTGACTCTTTTTGTTACAGCAGAGTCACGAGTAAGCAGAAAACGTCGGAAACGTCGGGAGATGATGAACCAAGCAGCCGAGGAGGAACTTGCCGAGATCGGACTCGAACAGGACATGTTACGGGAGCTCAACCTCAAACCTGCCGCAGCTAAAAAAACTGGCTCAGAAGGGGGCCCAAAAGGGGACAACAAGTGCTAAGGAGACCCCAGCTCCTCAGCCAGGCCTTCTAAATGTTACTCCCCAAGCCACAACTCCCTCGGGGAAGAAATCCAAACAGACAATAGCATTCGACTTGGGTGCAATGATTGATGCCTTAGAGGTAGGGATACTAATTGTCCTGCTTATATTTTTTACTGCAGTTTAAGTGTACGTCTGTTTTGCCTTCTGGAGGCATTTATCATTACAGCAAATATAAGTCAGCGACATATTACATAGTCAATTAAATGTGAAAGGCGAAACTAACACTGAGTGAATTTGGATTTCGCAGGTGAACGGTGAAAGTTTGACCGGACGTTAATTTCCTGTATACATGTTCAGTATTGGTGGTGGAGCCTTAATCGTTAACTCCACACTCGAATCTCTAGAAGTTTGAGTTCATAAAATTTTATTTTGGAATCTGTGTGGTATGTGTATGGTGGTAGTTAAGTCTTAGACTTCTGAAACCGTTTTTATACGCCCGTCGAAGACAGGGACGTATTATGTTATCACGTGAGCGGGCGGGTTGTAACCAGAAGGGATAGAAGTGTTGAGTGTTTATACAGCTTAGTACAGTACATTTGTAACATTGTTGATATTATTTGCAATGTAGCTTATTTGTCTGTCTTTTGTAATCAGTAGAGTTGGCACAAAAATTTCGACCAGCTTTAATTCTGTAAAATTCAACGCAACAATAGTTTAATTTGTATCTACTCTCACTCTACCTTAATATATTAATGGTACAATACACACAAATTACTCCATGTGAGAATCAAAAACAAATATTATGCTTTTCATTTACCAGAAGATGTAATTATTTTTATTTCAGAAAAAGAAAGATGTTCCAGTTCCAAAGAAGAAAGAGGTCTCTGTTTCTGTGGAACCTAAAGTGAAGAAAAGTACAGATCAGGTATACCTTAAGTTAAATGGTTCAGTGTGTCTGTCGAAAAAAACCCCATTACCATCTATATACCACTTTATACCACCTACTGGTAGCATGTAGGTACATTATCATGGGTTGTCAGTGTGAGAATACAGTGTACTGGAGAAGACGTTTGGAATGACTTGTAAACAGTTTGAGAATGGATTTTCGTGTTTCGAAATGTTTTTGATACAAGCAAATATGCCCTGTTAATAAAAAAAACCCTGAACCCATAATTCTAGAACTTTGCATAACAAGAATGAAACTTTTTCAAATTTTACAGCTCTTTAACTCATTCACCCCTGAAGACACGTTTGGACACTTCCAATTCACTGGTTGGAATAGTTCATCATGAAATTTCAGGGTGAATGAGTTAATACAAAAAGAAATGTTGAAATCAATTGTATTTTTTTCCAGAATATAGTTTTATATGAACTAGAAAAAGTTTTAATAGTTCAAAAAGTGTTCAACAAATTACATACATGATATTGATTAAATATTAATTTTGTTCTAATATCCACAATTTTTGTGCGATTTGAAAAAACCCCACTTATTTCCTGTCAATATTGTACATAGTAAATAATGATAATATGTAAGTTATGTTCCCTTGGTGACATTGATAAATAAGATTATGCAACAATTTTTTTCCACAGAAGGGTGTGCGACCACACAACATGCTTGATTCTAGTGCACCTATGTTAAAAAGAGGAAAGGAAAGGGAAAACCCAAAACCGAAGAAACCCAGTCCCCTCAAAAAGGTAAAGTTTCCATTCTATATAATATGACTACCACCTGTACTATGTCTTCAGCTACTTCGTGTCTGTATTATCCTGTCTATAACGCACCTGTAATAGCCAAGGAATACAGTATCTGACCTACCAGGAGGCACAGTAGTCTAGTGGTAGGACGCTGAGCTCATGACCGAAGGATTGCGGGTTCGAGTCACTGCACCGCACTGTGTTGTATCTTTGAGCAAGATACTTTACTCTGCTTTTTCCAATCTACTCAGCTGTAAATGAGTGCATGGTTGGAAAGTGCTAGAATTGTAGAATGCTAGCTGTGAGCGCCGAAATGGCAGCACCTGTTGTATTCTCCCCGGGGTGTTGAGAAAGATATTGGCTTGTTTCAAAGGCCCTATATATAACTACATAATTATTATCCCTGGTTATAAAGACCCTATAACCAGGGATAATAATTTGTGAACCGCTTTGAGACGACCTACAAACTAGGTTGTAATAAAGCGGTATATAAGAACCTCAAATTCTTATTATAATTATTACTAAAATAAAATTATATAAACAAGGTATTGGGTCGCAACCACTTGTCTTTAACTTTTTCCATGATATTTGGAAATATTTAAAAAAAAATAAAAAATATATAGCACTGAACTGAAAATTCACATAATTCCTAAATCATTACTGTATCTCGGGAACTTACCACAGTTAAACGTTCGCCTTTTTCGCCGTCCCCCATGTGTGCGTATTTATCATAACAGCAAAGTTCAGTACACAACATACAATATGTAGTGGTTACATGTGACGGGCAAATCTAACACTACGTTAACATGGATGTCATCGATGGATGTCATCGGCAAAGATAACACTACGTTAACATGGATGTCATCGGCAAAGATAACACTACGTTAACATGGATGTCATCGGCAAAGCTAACACTATGTTAACATGGATGTCATTGATTGATGTCATCGGCAAATCTAACACTACGTTAACAAGGATGTCATTGATGGATGTCATCGGCAAAGATAACACTACGTTAACATGGATGTCATTGGCAAAGCTAACACAACATCAACATGGATGTCATCGATGGATGTCATCGGCAAAGGTAACACTACGTCAACACGGATGTCATCGATGGATGTCATCGGCAAAGCTAACACTACGTCAACACGGATGTCATCGATGGATGGCATCGGCAAAGATAACACTACGTCATCGGCAAAGAGCGAATATTTTACTTGGCGAAGGTTACCTGATACACAGTGTCTATATAACTGACAAAAAAACTGAGTGGTACTATACATATATATACAGAGTTTTTCTCCCACCCTACACAGGTGTCTCCCGTTTTAGCCGGGAAACATCAGCTTGTCACCCCCTAGGGGAAGATAGCCTCGTGCCGATTAGCACATGTTCAATTGTGACGTCATTAAAATGTGTTGCCGGTAATTGTGACGTCATCAAAAGTGAATGACGATATTCATACCTCACATGTGTTTTTGTTTACAAACATGGCAGACTACTGTCGGTGGAGCTGTGACTGAAATAATAGGATCGGAGAAAAATAATCATCCCTTACGTTATAGGTGTAACAGAGAAATCTCCACACCAGAAAATATCACCCCCTCAGATTGGAGATTTCTCTGTCACACCCTCAAGGTAGGGGAAGACTCTATTAATCTACCCAAATTTGTACAGAGTTTGGTTCAGCAATGACTTCTAAAATTGAAAGTGAGAATAGAATAAAACCTGTCTATAGTAACCACTCAGCTGACTTATTAAAACTTTCATTATAGACAGTGGTTCCTATAGACAGGTTGTCACAAAAACATGTTTTATTCATTTATGATATGTTCATCGAAACATGGTCTTATGTAAGTCAGTGTTTATTCTAAAGGTGATCCTGAAGGAGCGAGAAGAAAAGAAAAAGTTACGACTATTGGACGACTCCGTCCCTGGCAATCCAGGGTAAGGTTTTACTTGATACGTTATGATGATTGTACTAGTCTCAAAATAGGTACTATATTGAAATTTATTGACCCTAGGCCTTTATTGTGTGCTCCACCCCCTCCCCTATATCTGAACTTATTAAACAATGTTTTTTCGAAAAATAATGGATCGTGTACCACTGCCGTTAACTGTAACAATGCAATTTGAAACCTTTTATTACAGAATGACCATAGATTCGATAATTTTTTCTTAAAAGAAAACAATACTTTGCCAAACTTCCATGAGTGAAATAATTCAACAGAGCGAGACCAGACCCTGGACTTCCCTTTATTATATTGTTATTCAAACCAACCAGCTTTTAAACTGAAGTACCCTGGCCCAGTCATGGTGCAATTAATTATAGCCAAAATGAAACTAAATAATAATAATAATATACAACATTTATATAGCGCCCTATATAATTTGTAAAATTACTCTAAAGCGCTTTACAACATATGGATGATAGTTATGGTTATAATTGTGAAAACAAAAAACAAAGGCTTACAATCACTTTTATACCAAGCAAGCAATGTGAACATAATTGAAAAAATAAAAGGGTGGTAGTTACATGACGTCTTGGCAAGGATTCTAAAATGCAGACGTGAAGAGTTGACTAAGGGGAGGTTACTGTACATACCTTAATCTACAATTATGGAATTGTCTAGTGTTCAGCCTGCAGTGGCACAGGGATCGGATCCTTGATAAAGATATTGTTGATTTAGAAATGCTAAAGTCCAAGAGGAATTATAAAACATATACGGATAATGTGATAGCGATTCAAGTCACTTCCATTTGATCAATGTTATGTCAGACCAAAAAAAATATTAAAAATTTAAGATTTGGATGATATTTTTTTTTTCAAATGACTTAATTAAATGTATCATTTAAATTCTTACTGATGTGCGTTTGCAGTGTACCCATGGGTATAGGAGTCATCAGTGCTGAGAGTGACCTGTCTCAGGACGGTAAGTGTAAGGTCTCATGGAATCGGAAACTCTTCTACAAAAACTCATGCCGTATCTCATTGACCAAACCAGTGTTATGATCACCTACCTGAGTGCAATTTGGCTTCAAGTAAATGTTACTTAATTATTATACACAAAATTTGCTTCGACAATCAAGGAACTTCACTTCTACCTACAAGTATACAATCTGTATTTGATACTTGTTAGAATAATATGATAGTATGACCTGATTTAAATAAAAACATGGTGGTTTTTTGTTTGCAAATATCGAGAGGAAAATTTCCAGTAAAAGTCATGCCTTCTAAAAACTATGATGATCAATCCAATCAATAAAACTAATGTACAAATTAATTGTTTTAAATATAATGCAAATACATTATACTAGTTAGCATGTGCATTTAAAAATCTTTATTTATTGGAAATTTGAGAAAAATACTTTTTTTTATCAAAGAAGGCTTATTTCAGAAAGAAAGATAAAAAGGAAATATTTCAGAAGTCAAAAGTGTATTAACAATATTAATAATAAATAAATTTCCAGTATCATCGTGAAAATGTTTAAAATTTCTTTATTCATTTTACAGCCTATAGCTTTAAAGGTTCAGCTGATTATGGGGTCACGACCCCTGCCAGTAATGACCTTTCCCCTATAAGCCAGACCTCACCCATCAGTATGAGCCCCCTGTCCCCTGGGGCCAGCCCTTTGAGTTCAGAGGTCAACAGTCCCATCGCCGGAACTATTGGCAAGGAGGCTGTGCTCAAAATACACAGCAGACGATTCAGAGAGTAAGTGTTTTTAGGTCACCTAAGCTTTGGTCAAGTGATCTATGCTAATCGCTTTCCGTCTGTCGTCGTGCGTCGTCGTCCGTCGTGCATATACTTTTTACATTTTTAACTTTCTCAAGAACCAGTGGATGGATTTTTTGCAAACTTAGTCAGAATCATCCTTGGTAGATGAGGCTACAAAATTGTAAAATTGGGATTCCTACTCTAACCCCTGGGCCATTAGGGTGGGGCCCCAAAGGGAAAATTAACCAATATTTCAAAAATCTTCTTCTCCAGGCTATGAGGTACTACATTCAATTTCAGTGCATAAAAAGAAAGATCATCAGGGACTTTATTTAAATTGTAAATTTCAGGACCCCCAAGCTATCCGTTCTCCCTTGGGGAGGGGGTAAAGTTTACTATAGTTTATATAGGGAAATAACACTATTGGGTATATTTTATCCATTTTCAGCAGAACATTATTCAAACTTGGTCAGAATCGTCTTTGGTGGATGAGGGTATTACATTGTACAATTGGAATTCATGCCCCATCCCCAGGGGCTAGAGGAGGGCCCCAGAGGGAACATTTACCAATATTTTAAAATTCTTATCCTTTGATGATATGACAAGTATTGTATTTCACTTAGTTTACATGCTGATTTCCACATCACATCTAAACAATAAAATAAAGCTACCAGTACCTATGATATAACTTAGGTGACCGCTAAGGCCCTTGGGCCTCTTGTTTGAAAATTTTTAAACGAACATTTCACCAGTCCTGTTATACCTCATTTCATACTAATCACAAGTCATCGCAGGATAAAGAAACAACAAACGATTGTTTAACCCTTTCACCACTATAGACCATAATGGACTCATTCAGATCAATGTATGGTAGAGTCTACTAAAGTTACCTAGGGGTGAAAGGTCAGGGTTAAGTTAGATATTTGGGTGGTCGAGTGGTGAAGAAGAAGTCTTACTCGCCTTTATTACGACAGCCTGGGTTTGATTTCGTGATCAGACGTCAATATACAAAAGTGTCCAATTTTACAGTAGATAAATACTTAAACTTTATTTAATTTTCAACAATTGTGAAACAAGTTTTCTAACTTACATTAATTGCTTGTTGACCTGGATGGAAATGCACGGAAGGTCTTGATAATGTGAGAGGAAATCGTGGGTACTCAGAAAAACACCCAACATGGTGTAACAGGTGGTCCTATAGCTTTTCACGTCCCCAATTCCGTCTTTGGGTATTGCAGAGTTATCTTCTCTTGTGAGCAGGTATTGATTGTTACGTCATTGGTTTGTGTGAGAAAATTACGTGATTTTCTCAAAAATTGATGACGTTACTCTCACAAACAAATGACGGAACAATCAATACCTGCTCACAAGTGCAGAAAACTCTGCAATACGCAAAGACGGAATAGCACTATCCACTATGCCACCCGACCACGGAAGTTAATAATATCAGGGTTAGACACTAAATTGTTTTGCTTGGTAGTCCACAGGACTAGTTGAAGAGATTATTTAGTCCTTCGTCAATGTAGCTAGTCTCAGATTTCCTGATAGGAAACATCGCGATCTACAGCACGAAACATCAGAAGTAGGGGACAGTCCCCGGGACTTAAAGTAACTACTGACATAAAAATATGGTAAAGATTTAGGAAAATTTCGACAATTATCAAGCATTATATCCTATTTTAAGCAGTTTTCTACATTTTAGAAAGGTGTATTCTTATTTTTAATCATAATTTTCACGCAAGGGTGTAGAATAGGGAAATCCAGAGGGTGACATTTCCCTATCCTATACCCTTTGCCATGATAGTATTTTTCTCTCGTTCCAACTACCAGAATAAGATCAAAAACCATGAAAATGTATTTGGACTGTCTTTTTAGACCAAAACCAATCAGTCAGTCAGATTAAGCATACTCCATATTTGCAAACACTCATATGTCTAACCTGAGGGGTAAATATATCGTAATAGGTTTTAATTTCATCACAATGCCTTTTCCGCATTACGTCATCAGAGATTTTCCAAATTTGTGACGTCATTGTTGAGCCATTGTGACGTCATGTCACATGAAATTTTCTACTCCCCTTTCTTACCCTGGACAGCTCTATCTTACACACATGGAAATGAGAGAAATATCAATGTATGCTATTTATATATGATTGTTACAGGTATTGTAACCAGGTACTAAACAAGGATATAGACAGCTGTTGTACTGCACTCCTCCAGGACCTTGTACGCTTCCAGGACCGTGTCTATCACAAAGAACCTAATAAGGTCAGTACCTGTGGAGTCCCCGCCCAAAGGCCTCGCCCCCAGTCCCCAAACTCAAAGTCCCCAATCCCTGTCCTCTCCCTCAGCGCCCTCCCCAGTCACTTCACCAAATCCCCATCTCCATACCCTTCCACAGTCCAAACCCCAGTCCCCAATCACTGTCCCCTCCCCCAGTCCTCTCCCAATGCCCCCTCCCCAAGTCCCCTTCCCCAATCCCCAAACAAGATTCCCCAACCCCTGTCATCTCCCTAAGTCCCAGTCCCAACCCCAGTCCCCAATCACAATCTCCTCCCCCAGTTACGAGCCTAGTCCCCTCCTCTAGCTACCCCCACCCCTAGTCCCCTCCCCAAACTTCTTCCCCAAGCCCCTTACCCCAACCAGGTATATAGCTCTACTTGTGCATAGAGGTTCCCCAACGAGTGATGGTTGGTTATCATGTTGAACTAACTCAAGTTTTTAACTTTCAAATTGTATAAAGACATGAAGTTTATCATCAAGTGTCTTTTACAATTCGGAAATCAACCAACCAGAGGTGGATGTACATAATAATCAACCATCAACTTTCAGATCTTATATCTTGAAAACCTTACGTTTCTCATGGGAATACATTTTCTCCCACCCTTCATAGGTGTGTCTCCCGTTTTAGCCGGGAAAGATAATCTTTTCTCCTATCCTTCACAGATGTGTCTGCCGTTTTGGCGGGGAAAGATCAACTTGTCACCCCCTAAGGGGAGATNAAGTGAGAATAGAATAAAACCTGTCTATAGTGACCACTCAGCTGACTTATTAAAACATTCATTATATACAGTGGTTCCTATTCATTGACAGGTTGTTTCTGATCTGGGAAACAATTGCCAGGAATTATGACTTCATACGACGAACTCGCAAAGCATTGAGAAGTGACGTCATGTTTAGAAGATCGACATGACATTACATCCAGAGTTTCTTTCACCAGCTGGTGGGTGTAACCAAATATGTTAAGCAGCTCATTGTAAGTTTATCCTATGAGTCTGGAATAAGGAAACCTATAGTGGTTGTGGGAGAACTGTATGTTGAACCAAAATATTTCTTGATACTCTGATGAAATACCAGTAACATTCCTTTTAATGTGTTGAAGTTCAAGTTGTAGTTTTGGAACTGAGCAAGAAAACCTCTGATAGATGATCAACAAGAGATAAATTGAAAATTTGACAATAATTAAGCAGACAAATATATATGGCCTGCATGGAGCAGACAAATACAATATATATGGCCTGCATGGAGCAGAAAGATGAATATGGCCTGCATGGAGCAGAAAGATAAATATGGCCTGCATGGAACAGAAAGATAAATATATGGCCTGAATGGAGCAGAAAGATAAATATGGCCTGCATGGAGCAGAAAG